TATATCAATGACCTTGACGAGGGAATTACTAGTGATATAAGCAAATTCGCTGATGACACGAAGATAGGTAGGATAACTGATTCAGACACTCATGTCTCAGAACTTCAGGAGCATTTAAACACACTCAATTCGTGGTCAGGAAAGTGGCAGATGCAGTTCAATCTAGATAAATGTAAAGTTCTCAAGCTTGGAAATGTTCATAACCTTAGCGCCTACCAGCTTAATAATGTTGAACTTAACTGTACAGAATGCGAAAAGGATTTGGGGGTTATGCTAAGTAGCAACTTTAAACCAAGACAGCAATGCCTAAGATTACACAATAAGGCAAATAGAGTACTGTGATTTATATCAAGAAGTGTAAGCAACAAAAGTCCAGGGTTATACTGCAGCTTTATACATCATTAGTAAGGCCTCACCTAGATTACGCAGTTCAGTTCTGGTCTCCGTTTTACAGAATGGATATAAATTTGTTAGAAAACATTCAGTGAAGAATGACAAAGTTAATACATAGCATTAGAAATCTTCTTTATGAAGAAAGAATGAAGATCCTTAAACTACATTCGCTTATAAGACAAAGAATGAGGGAAGACATGATCGAAGTGTACAAGTGGAAGATGGGTTCTCTGAACCCCGGACTTGAGTCCTGGAGATGAGAAGTACAGTGCCTGCACTCTGAAGGAGGGGTGTTAATGTTGCAGTTTAAAAACTGTAGTGTAAAGCACCCTTCTGGCAAGACAGTGATGGAGTGAATGATGGTGAAGGTTTTTCTTTTTCGGGCCACCCTGCCTTGGTGGGAATCGGCCAGTGTGATAATAAAAATAAAAAAATAATATATAAATAAGGTTTTGAGGATCTCTCTCCAAGAGAGAACCCACAATAATGGATTCAAATTAGACAAATTTAGATTTTGAAAGGATATAGGAAAGTAATGGTTTGGACATAGGGAAGTTGATGAGTGGAACAGTCTACCTAGTAGGGTTTATTGAGGGTTAAACCTTGGGTAGTTTCAAATTTAGGTTGGATAAATACATGGGTGTTATGCAGGGTTCTGCATGACATCGTAATGTACATATAGTGGAGAAGTGTGCCATAATAGTATGAATATTATAGTTGTAAAGAATAATTTTATAATTGATAATGTGCATTTGGGGGTACTGTAAAGTACTCTAACTGTAATTATAAAGAAATTCTGTTAATGATTTATTTTCCAAGGATGTTTGGGTACGCGGAGTAAGCGTGGTTTGGGAGAGTCACGTGACGTTAGCATGGTGTGTAGAGGCTGGCGTCGGAGATGCTGTGTATTTAAGATAAGTTTGTAGTTGTGCACTCATTTTGTTTATCCAACTCAAGCCATAGGCTCTCATATGGCTTACCTGTATGTTCACCCAGGCTCTGACATGGTCAGGGTGCTGTGGGAGGAGCGAGGAAATATGAAATGAGGTTGGGAGTAGAGTGGGCCTGGCGCTGACGAGGCATAGTAGTTATAGTGGCTGGACCTCAAGCCAGCTGTTTCTGGTGTACCCTCATTTGGGCGTTTAGGATTAAGGTGTTTCTGTTATGTTATGTTGACTAAATAGATATATTTTCCTAATTGGGATTTTTGCCTAACCCTCTGTTACCCAACCCCTTTAAGTACACATACTAGTTTAGGCATATATAGGCAAATCAAAAGAGGAGAGGGGCAATTACGAAATCGATATATTCAGTTAAAGAGAGAAATAAAAAAGGGAATTAGAAAAGCAAAAAGAGATTATGAGGTTAAAGTTGCAAGAGAATCGAAGACTAACCCAAAAGGATTCTTTCAGGTATACAGAAGTAAGATCAGGGACAAGATAGGCCCACTCAAAAGTTCCTCGGGTCAGCTCACTGACAGTGATAAGGAAATGTGTAGAATTTTTAACACATACTTCCTCTCAGTTTTTACACAGGAGGATACCAGCGATATTCCAGTAATGATAAATTATGTAGAACAGGACGATAATAAACTGTGCATGATTAGAGTCACAAGTGACATGGTCCTTAGGCAAATAGATAAATTAAAACCTAACAAATCCCCAGGCCCTGATGAACTGTATGCAAGGGTTCTAAAGGAATGTAAAGAGGAGCTTAGCACACCTTTGGCTAATCTTTTCAACATATCACTACAAACTGGCATGGTGCCAGATAAGTGGAAAATGGCAAATGTGATACCTATTTTCAAAACAGGTGACAGGTCCTTAGCTTCGAACTATAGACCAATAAGCCTAACCTCCATAGTGGGAAAATTTATGGAATCAATAATTGCCGAGGCAGTTCGTAGCCACCTTGAAAAGCATAAATTAATCAACGAATCTCAGCATGGTTTTACAAAGGGGCGTTCCTGCCTTACGAATTTATTAACTTTTTTCACTAAGGTATTTGAGGAGGTAGATCATGGTAATGAATATGATACTGTGTATATGGACTTCAGTAAGGCTTTTGACAGGGTCCCACATCAGAGACTATTGAGGAAAATTAAAGCACATGGAATAGGAGGAGAAATTTTTTCCTGGATAGAGGCATGGTTGACAAATAGGCAGCAGAGAGTTTGCATAAATGGGGAGAAATCAGAGTGGGGAAGCGTCACGAGCGGTGTTCCACAGGGGTCGGTGTTGGGCCCCCTGCTGTTCACAATCTACATAAACGACATAGATGAGGGCATAAAGAGCGACATCGGCAAGTTTGCCGATGACACCAAAATAGGCCGTCGAATTCATTCTGACGAGGACATTCGAGCACTCCAGGAAGATTTGAATAGACTGATGCAGTGGTCGGAGAAGTGGCAGATGCAGTTTAATATAGACAAATGCAAAGTTCTAAATGTTGGACAGGACAATAACCATGCCACATATAAACTAAATAATGTAGATCTTAATATTACGGATTGTGAAAAAGATTTAGGAGTTCTGGTTAGCAGTAATCTGAAACCAAGACAGCAGTGCATAAGTGTTCGCAATAAAGCTAATAGAATCCTTGGCTTCATATCAAGAAGCATAAATAATAGGAGTCCTCAGGTTGTTCAACTCTATACATCCTTGGTTAGGCCTCATTTAGATTATGCTGCACAGTTTTGGTCACCGTATTACAGAATGGATATAAATGCTCTGGAAAATGTACAAAGGAGGATGACAAAGTTGATCCCATGTATCACAAACCTTCCCTATGAGGATAGACTAAGGGCCCTGAATCTGCACTCTCTAGAAAGACGTAGAATTAGGGGGGATATGATTGAGGTGTATAAATGGAAGACAGGAATAAATAAAGGGGATGTAAATAGTGTGCTGAAAATATCTAGCCTAGATAGGACTCGCAGCAATGGTTTTAAGTTGGAAAAATTCAGATTCAGGAAGGATATAGGAAAGTACTGGTTTGGTAATAGAGTTGTGGATGAGTGGAACAAACTCCCGAGTACAGTTATAGAGGCCAGAACGTTGTGTAGCTTTAAAAATAGGTTGGATAAATACATGAGTGGATGTGGGTGGGTGTGAGTTGGACCTGACAGCTTGTGCTACCAGGTCGGTTGCCGTGTTCCTCCCTTAAGTCAATGTGACCTGACCTGACTAGGTTGGGTGCATTGGCTTAAGCTGGTAGGAGACTTGGACCTGCCTCACATGGGCCAGTAGGCCTTCTGCAGTGTTCCTTCGTTCTTATGTTCTTATGTTTTGACTGGGATAGCCCTGGGTGGCCTGTTTGGGCTTGAGATATGAGTAACTTTTACCTTTGCCCATAGACCAGGCTCAAGCCCCCAGCTATCCCACATTTTTGCATAACAAAGGGTGAGAAGGGTTGGATTTGAGTAGGACATGCACATGAGTAAATAAAATTCTCAAAAGCTTATTTCTTGGCTAGCATTAAAAACTGAGTTGGGCAAATATTGTCAGTGGGATGGATTGTGAAGGACCTGCCTAGTATGGGCCATCAGGCCTGCTACAGTGTTCCTCCTTTCTTATGTTCATTAAAAATCTGTTCCATGAGGAACAACAGTCAAGCTACACTAATAGTGTGGTGACACATCTCAAGACCCGTATGCTATGCTAGTTTACTGTATGTGTAACACTTCATAAAGACTGAACTTCCGTATCACTGATGTTCAATCTTTACAATGTGGATAGATTCCTAAAGTCAGTTCCTAGTCAGCCAGGCTGTGATTCATACAGTGGACTACATGTGTCCAGCAGTAACAGTCTAATTTTATCAGGCCTTAATCCACCAAGATGCCTGGTCTCTGACTGGACTGCTGGGTGGCGACTCCCAGCTAATCCTTTATGTCAACAGAGTTTCTTGAAAATCAAACCTTAAGACAAGATTCAGACTATCCAAACATAATGTGTATACTTCCAGAACCTGGAGTTTACCTGGAGAGAGTTCCGGGGGTCAACGCCCCCGCGGCCCGGTCTGTGACCAGGCCTCCTGCCAGAGCTTTGGCAGGATTTGTTTGTCCTCACAAAGTGACTATCAAGAAGGTAACCCCAGGAGCAAACTCTTGGATTACAAGCCAGAAACATTCTAAGTCATGACCTAAAACTTTTAGAGCATCTCTACATTACACACAAAAATTGCAGGCCCATGGATCTCCAAATTCTGCCAATATATATAAAGAGAATAATAAAAGGGTTACTGAATATTTTCTTAAAATAAAAACTCATTGTTTCTAATCAGCCAACCTGTTGCTTATGTCGAACTGCAAGCTGCCAATACCAAAAACCCATTCTTTTATGAACCAGGCCACTAACGTTTTATAGGGGCCTAGAAGGTGGTGTTAAAATCTTAACCCATCATGGTTTTTGAAGCCACTACCACAGGCTAAGAAATGTATACTATATTATCCAGTGAATCATCCTTTACCTAGATATCTTTGTTTTCTACAGCAGGTCAATAACAAAACTAAGGTTAATGAAGGGCCTAGAACTTCATTAAAGTTCAACTAAAAGTAATAATAAACTGAAGTGAACTTTAATCAACAATAATAGTGCAGTACTTACATCAACTGCAGTAGAGAAACCACCAGAATCTTCTGTTGCTGTGACAACCAACTGATAGATGTGTGGTTGACGAACATCCTCGAAGTTTAGTTCCTTCGCCAACTTGACTATACCAGATGTAGGTCCAATATTAAATGTCCCAGCACCCTGGCCTTTAGCTTTTAATGTGTATCTTATTTCTCGATCAGCAAAAGATTTAGCTTTAACGGAGATGATACTGAAAAACAAAAGGCACTTAACTAAAACATTATAATTTTGATACTAAACAGTAAAAAATATAAATAAAAAAAAATGAAATCTCTTGGTATTCAACAGACTGGATCCTGGTATGTAGAAAAGCATATTGTTCAACAGAGATTTAAGCCAGCTAGTCTTGGTCAATCATGGAAGCACTATGACAAAGGAAGTAAATGTTATGCTTTACCATTTTGATTGACACACTTAAGCAGTAGCCCTTGATTTTCTTCTCCATGATAGCCTTTCCATGAACAGCTTCATTTTTTCTTTCTTTTGCTTAAGTATTTGTACCAGAATGCCTTTGCCTGGCTTCCAATTATTGTTAATGTATAACTGATTTAGCGACACGAGAGACTTTAGTGAAAGTTCTACGTAAGTATACCCATAGAAAATAAGGCATCAAATTAAGTGACACAGAGGTGCAGATGCTTTGTTTGAACATGGTCTTTGAATACTGCAGCAATGATGTAGTTTGCAGTGGAAAAGCCATGTCTGAGATCAATATATACAGAAAAGGGAATTCAGAAATTACAAAATTGTTTAGTGGCACAATAAGACCTCTTTTACCCAAAATTTAGAAGTCCAATTTTAAATAAAGAAATTTTTTCTTGAAGAGATGTCACTCAGAGTAGAGTTGACACTCTTGGTAAGAACCATCACAAACTTGAATTTAGGCTTGTTTAAATCCCTACCCATACTCAAAATTAATGCCACACAAACATAATACTTTTACTTCACTAATGCTCATACTGACCGAAGACTGGTGATAAACTGTAAGAGAACACCTAGACATCACACTCAAAACAAATACTTTGATATTCCTCTTTGCCTGAACCTCTATAGAAACTATATAAACAAAAAAAGCCAAAAACTGCAGAATAAGCTGGCAGATAAATAAAAAATTGTAACAATGTACATGTATTCAAGCAAAAACTCAAAAAAAGTGTTTAATGTATTTCTCTTAAACAAATTTTAATGGAATGCCTTAAATTACCATTAAAGTTTTACTTCCAAGTTATACCTGTACGTTGCTTGTAGTAGTTTCCTGGGTTCACAGTCCCACGGCCTGGTCGCAGGCAAAACCTACTGATTGGTGGGCTGATCAATCAGGGTGTTGGTGTCAACCACATGCAGACCAATGTAAACAACACAATCTGGTTGATCAAGAACTGACTTGAGAAACTTACTAAGTACCCTCCTGAAGATAGCCAGGGGGTTGTTGGCTATTTACCTTAGGCACAAAGGAAGCATACTGAAAAGTCTTAGACCCCTTACACTTACTGAATTCTCAACTAACTCACTGCACTCCTGCTTTTGATTGGAGGCAGTACTGTGCACCTTCTGCAAAGCTTCTTGCTTTCATATGGAGTGATTTCAGTGTGTAGGTTTAGGATCAATCCCTACAGAATGTTTTCAGGTATAAATTATGATGCATCTTTCTTGCTATGTTCCAAGGAGTACAGTCAAAGGACTTCAACTAAAATCTGTAGTTCAGATGCTTGACTGAGTTTGTATGAGTGATGAAGGTTCTCTGGATATAATCCAATTCTGCAATTTTTCCTGCCTTGAAGGGACCATTAATAAACAGCGATGTTCCAGCCTAGAAAGAATAACTGCTTTGAAAAGAACATCACTAGCTCAGAATCTCTCATACTGAACACTGTAGCTATCTAGCCAATCACTGTCCTTGTGGTAGTGATAGCAACATTGTTGTGATCCCTGAATGCAAGATCTGCCATTATCATTCCCACATACCACACATTGAATTTCTGCTATATGAAATTATTTGCACTCATCTTTTATGCTGTTTTAGTCTTTAATTCCTCAGTAACTGAAATCTGTCCTCAATGAACATTATTTTGTTGTTAGTGACCCACTGGAAAACTTGGTTTACACCAGCATGAAGATTCGATATGTCCTCAATGAAAGCCATTCTCTATGACATGTGAAATCATAATTACACAATTGTAAACTACTCACCAAACAGAGGATTCGAACCCTTGGCAAGCCAGTCCTAATGACTTTGAAGGGAACCGAGCTAGAACTTGCCACAGCCATGTTGATGCAAGTCAAGAAAAACCAGTATTGTGATCACTGTGAGACCCATGTTAATCTTCCTATGGTGTACAGAAATATACCTATTTGGATGAAAATTATAAGGCTGGCATGATACAGTGGATAACACGCTGGCCTGCAAGTATTAGAACGAGACCGCCATGGGTTCAAGATCTCTGTTCAGCGAGTTCTCTAAATATGTCGGATTTAAAAAGGCTCAAGATAAGTGAGGAACACAGCCTTTCTTTGTGGTAGCCTACAATTTCACTCTGCTTATTACTCTGTGGGCTCTACCTATTAAGAAACTAAATATGTATCTGGACACTCTTAGTTACTTCTTTTGCACTCAATTTCTGAGCTATTACACTATGGTTGTACTTGTTGAAGGCTTTTGCCAAATTCACATACGTATACTACACCTGTATTTTGCTTGCCTCCCAGTGCATCGAAGACCATGTCATAATGATCCAGCAACTGCGAGAGGCAGGAGTGACCTGGTGTAAACCTAGGCTGTCCTGGGTTGTGCAACTGTTTTGATTCCACATTGACTTGGACCCTTTATGCAACTGTTTTGATTCCACATGACTAAGGACCCTTTCAAAGATGTTGATTTATTAGCACTATCAGTCTGTAGTATTTTGCAATTATTTCAATGCCACCTTCATGACATGGAAGGAATCTAACAAGTTTGACTAATCTGAGTGTGTGCTAATCTGCACAGACTCAGATAAAACTTGTAGGTGTTATTATATTGATGGTATACAGTACCAACATGCTGATGAACAAGACAGATATGCAATACCTGGGTATCTTTATGAAGATGTTTAGCCAACTAGTTAACTAGTGGCATTTTCAATGCAACACAGGATTTACATATTGAAGACAGTAGAAGAAATAGAGAGAGATATTCGAGATGTTCAGTCCCTTAGCCTTGATGAAACCAAAGCAGATGAATGAGAATGCAAACATACACTGGAGGTAGAGGAGAGGTGCATCAAGTGACACCCACTAGTTTAAGTAATGTAGGTTATACCCAGTTGGTCCAAAGGTTAGCAATAAAGTAGATGATATCCTCTGTATCAAGATTCCCAGGTGATGCTGTGTTAGACAAGTTACTTGTTACATGTTATTTGTTACCCTCAAGAAGCCCAAGAGCTGTAGATCAACTCCCTCAAAAAAATCAAAAGATGAAACTTAACAGTAAAAATGCTAGACCAATCACTCATTTATTTGAATCTTCCTCTGGGTGCATTACATCAGAATTTAAAGTTCGAAACTATTTAAAAGAAGCGTTCCCAAGTTATCACACCAACTATGAAAGTATGAAGCCAATCAGAAGAGACATTGAAGTTAGAGCACAGGGACAGTGCAGAGGAAAAAATAATAATTTCAACAATCACTGAAGGTATCCCCCTTTCGGGGTATACATATAATATACACTAGACTTTGGTGTAACCAGTTTATTGGCACACACACGCACAGTGTGCAAAAGAAATAAGTGAAAAAGACCTCTACCATATAAACCTATGCTCTTCAAGATATGGTATTCACTCAACTCTTTTTCTCCATATCACATTATTGGCTCAGCATCTCCCTTGAAAGTTCTAGTTTTCCAGCCTATCTTTTTCCTTGCTGTAGTAATTACAACACTTGTGACCCTCGAATGTGAAATTTTCTGACATTATTCCTCCAAAGTCTGCCACATGGGATTTTCACTTCTAGTGAACGATTTAAGTTTGTCCTGTACTCTGTTACAGTCTTTGCTTCCTCTGTTCTTCCACTGTGTGGCAATTGAATTATGTTCTCAATCAATATCATACTGTTGTCTGAGATCCACTGGAAGACTTGATTTATATCTGATTGAAGATTCGCCATGTCCTCGATGGATGCCACACTCAAAGATTCTAGAGACGTCAGCTAAAGTATGTTCCAGCACTTGATCTATGTATGACCTTGGCAATGTCAGATACAAGAATGAGAAGTACTGTGCCTTGAAGAATATGTATAGCTTTTCACTATGGCAGCCTCTAACTTCACACTGTTTGCTACTAATCTCTGGGTTCTATTCATCTAAAATTTAAATATCTACCTGCTCAGTTTTCCAGTTATTCCTCTTCCACATATTTTGTGTGCAACCACACTGTGGTCAAACCTGTCAAGCATTTTTGCAAAATCAATGTACATTATATCAGCATTTAGCGGGTCTTCCTAAGTACAGTGGTCAATTATCGTTCATAATCCGTTCCTGGAAGTGGGACTATTATCGAAATAGATGATTTTCGAATCAATTTTCCCCATAAGAAATAATGTAAATACAATTAATCCGTTCCTGACACCCAGAAGTATTAAAACAAAAAAATTTTTTACATGAAATATAGATGTAGTACATAAACAATACAATGGCACATGATGGATGAAACATTAACAGCATAACACTTACCTTTATTGGCGATTCTTCTTAAGTGTATGGAAGACTGGAGGAGGAGAGACACTGAATTACTGTTTGGAAGGGGAATCCCCTTCCATCAACACCTCAGGTACCAAGTGCTTTTCTGGGGTTACTTCTCTTCTCTGTTTCTTAATACCACTAGGACCAGCTTGAGAGTCACTGGAATCCTGTCTCGCAAAAAAAACGTCCAGAGCGCTCTGTTTCTTGAGTCTCTTTAAAACATCCCCAAAATGGGCCAAGACTCTGTCACTGTACAAGCTGCCGATATGGCTTGCAACATCCTTCTCAGGGTGATGTTTCTCCATAAATCTTTCCATCCTACCTCACATATCAAAAATCTCCTTAATTTCTGAAGAAGGCACCTTCTTCCATCTCTCTACCTCCTCCTCTGCAGCAAGATTCTGAGCTGCAATCTGTTGCTCTTCCTGCTGAAACTCTTGCTCCTTTCATATTGTTCAATGATGTTTTTCTTAAAT